AAACCCCTATTTGGGACTAGTTAAGTCTGATTCACATTTCAAAACCTTTTTGTAATCAGGTTAGTTTCAAGTTGGATCAGTCGAGGGAAGGTCAGATTCAGGTTGAATCTAAATTTGATCCTAAAACTCATTTCGACATCCCTATTTCACATATCCACTACACTACAAGCCAGAACTAACTTGCCAGTTTTATTTATTTGGATAATGATATCCTATGTGGCTATCAAAGTAAATGATATATTCAACAACAATGACAAGTACATAAATTTATTTTTATAAATATAAATAATGACCATCATTAATGATTAGTAGTGATGTAATCTGGCCTTGCCCATCTAGATTCGAGAAGACTGGTATATATGATTAAATTTTTTTTTCTCATATTCACCATAAAAAATAGTACCAAATACATATATTGAATTCTCAAATTTATTTTTAACTAATACACTATCAGTTCAGGTGCTTCTTTTACAACTCTTGAAGCATATTTATCTTCAAATTTAGCTTTGTTGAAATCAATTGCAAATTTGTCAATAAATATGCTTCATTTAGTCAATTTATTTTAATTATTTTAAGGTTTTGTTTATAACGAATTTTTTACTACTTTTTAAAATAACTTTTTAATATAAAATTAAAAATTTTGTATTAAAAAGCTGTTTTAAGAAGTAGTAAAAAAATCATCTCAAACGAAGTATAAGGCATGTGCTTACCTCTAAAAATTATGCTGGTTGAAATATAAATTTTTTAATCCAAAAAAGCTTGGCCAATGTCTATTTAAGCGCGATCATATTATTGCAACTCTAAAAAATCACATAATCTCAATGGCAAATGATTTTTACATTTATATATGATAAAATAATAAAAGATTTTTACATTTATATATAATCAGCAAAATAAATATCTTATGAAATTAATGAAATTTTTTGACATTTTCAATGCTAAAAAATTTATGATGATAAATATTGAAGTTTTTTCATCTTGGCTTTTCACAAAAATCCAATACACGTAGATAACAAAAAATGTTGTAGACATCAATTTTGTACATGGAAATCTTGAAAAGAAAAAAAATTAGGAGACCTAACCTAATGAAATGATTCACCATAAAATAAAAAATAAAAAATATAAAAAAAAAGAAAAAAGAGAAAAAAAAAAAGCTTCAAGATTTCACTCTCCCTCTCAATTGGAGAAGATGAGATTAGTAATTTGTATTTCTATAAATGTGAAGGAGAACGGTAGTGATGCAATAGTTAGATTGCGTTAGTTTGATAATGATGGTTTGATGATGGAAATCAGATGATGGTGGTTGGAGTGCAGATAGTGGATTATGATAATCAAGCAATGATGGTCATACTACTATTGCCGGGAAATGGTGATTGGATGATGACAGTCAAGCAATAGCAGCCAAACAATAGCAATCTAGCAACAACAATCATAAGATGTTGGTCAAATGACATTAGTTGAGTAATAACAGTTTAATGATGGTGATTAAATGATGATATTTGAGTGAAGACTATTAGGCAATAGCAATCAATCAATGGTGGTTGGATGCCATCGATCAATTGAGTGATGGCAGTCAGACAATATTATCAGGCATTAATTATTATTGATGATGATTGTCTACGTCGAATGTCAATTAGAGTTCCAGAGTTCTTTACATCAAACAACTCATATTGAATTATTTGATCATAAATCATTTATTCAACATTTAAGTATACATTAATAATTTCATAATTGAGTTATCTTATGTTTCTTAAATTTTTCTCGTCGAGCTGCTTATTTTCATTATGAGCGTGCAAGATTTGGGGATTTTTTGGTTTCCAATTAATGTTCCAAATTTTTTAACTTTATTTCAAGTGCTTGATTAGGCTCATTGAAACTTGAATCGGATTGCCCTTGGTGTCATTGAGTTCATCTTGTCAGGAAGTTTAATCTAACTATAAGTTTATTGAAATTAAACTTTGGATGATTTCAAATTTAATTCTAAAAATTTTCTATATGAATATCAAAATGAATTTTCTTAAGTGATATCAGACATGTAACACATTTTTAAGTCTATCATAATGAAAAATTTATAACACTATCAAATTAGATTTCAATTAGATGTTCAAAACTAGTAGTTCCATACATTTATATTTGATATTGTTGCAGACTGGAACATTCACTGTGGTAGAGAGATGAAGAGCTTAATATCTTAGCTTTGAATAAAGATCCAACATACATATATATAGAACATTCAGCTGCCGGGCGGTGGTACGACGATGGTTAACGAAGGTTCGCCGAAAGCGGTGCTAGAGCTCTTGAAGCCTCAGAGCTCTCTCAAATCTTCAGCCAAAAGGTTCCCCCTCATATAGAGAGTAGGGTTCTATTTATAGATTTTTGTTAATTGCATACCCCATAAATATAGAGAAGATCTTGTGCAGGTTCAGAATGCTCCATCAGATGACCCGTATTGATTTCCTCGGTCATAAAATATTTTTCGAGTGTTTATGTTCCTTAAAGATGTCTAAATTCAGCGATCATGGGCTCGTTGGATTCGTCTTGTCGAGCCGCTAAATTTGATTATAAGCATATCACATTTGGATGTCATTTGGTCTTCCAATTTATTCTTTGAATCATTAAAATATGCTTATTGCTCTCGATTTGGATCCATTTGAGCTCAAAATTAGATCGAATTTTGTGTCGTTGGGTTCGTCCTTTCAAGTTGTTTAATTCAACTATAAATTTGCTGAAATTGGAGTATGGACAACTCTAAATTTAATCTTTGAAGTTTTTAACTTAAATTTGCATCCAGATTCATGCTTAATCAAGATAATTTTTTATGATATATCAAAACTAATTATAATTTCTATTACCTCCATTTTAATATAATTTTAATAATTCAATTTTATTATTAAAAACTTGATGAAAATAGCCTGAGCATTTTTTTTTAGTTCATTGAACCTCATGAACTTTATTTTTCCGGGACCATATTTTTTCCCCACGATCTCCACTTGAAGACAAAATTACTTTCCCACCAGCCGCTGAGCACGAAAACTAATGGTACGGAGCACAGAGAATTTCTTTCCTTTCTGTTTTTTTTTTTATGACGAGGAATTATCTGCTGCAACATCCGATTTTATCGTGCGCGTTTGGCGGTCCGTAAACACTGGCCGACCTTATGGGCCACCCAGGCCACAAACCCATAGCTGACGATTTGGAGGCCTTACTTAAGGGCCGCTCCAGAGAATCGAACTCGGGATCAGGGTTCCCAACCGAGCTAAACATAGGTGGGTCCTTTCTGTTATTATTATTATAAAATAACTCTTGAAAAATATTCAGGGCAATCAAAAGAAATTTTATTAGGTGCGGAGTGCGGACGGGGTGAGAACCGTTCGCACAGACACATGGTACCAAGCATTACCCAATGGTACCTAATGGTACCGAACGGTACCGAGCGCGATTTTATACTAGTGTGCGGACAGTTCTCCCGTCCGCACTCCGTACCTAATAATTTCTCCAATCAAAATGGTGGCCACCACATGGCCTCAAATATCATGAAAAAATAATTAACTTTATAGACGATTTTATATCGAAATAATTATTGAGGGAAAATTAATATGGCCTTATCAAAGGCCGTCGCCTGGCCGTTATGATTCCGGCTCTCATTGAATTATATAATTTTTTTTAGTTAAAATTTTTTATATTAAAAAATTATTGTAGAAAATTATAAGTTATCATAAATAAAATTATAGTCTATTTGAAATATGTTTCTCGTTACTTAAATTTTCAGATAGTATTTTAACTTTATTTGCCTGCTTATTTTTCAGTATTTTCACTATTTTTAAAAAATTTGTTGTGAAAAATTATTTTCTTTAATAATAATAAAGAAGTTATTTTTTTCTATAATAAACTTTATAAAATATTGAAGCCATTCTAAACACCTTAATTTGATTTTGGTTAATTTTATATATGAGCTATAACTTTCGAACTAAATTTAATTGTAGTAAAAATCTAATTCAATTTTAATTATTTTTTATCTCATAATAAGTTTTATTACTCATAACTTAATTATTTTAAGTAAAAAATTAAGTATTTTATTGTGGGGTTATTTGATTTGTTGAAGAAGAAATGAAAAATAAAATGAATATAATGTAAAATGAATATGATATATTTAAAATATTTGAAGTTATATGGATAATCATAAAAGGAATTAAGAGGATTATTTTTTTATTGATCGTAATTAAAAAAAAAATCTTTAAAATCACAAATTAAAATTATAAAATTTATAATTTATCCCTCAACATTAAAAATACAGATATGTACTATTTTTGAATAATTTTATTTTATTATTAATTTTTAATATTCTTACAATTTTTAGCCAAATAATATGAGAAATAATAAATCAGCTAAAGAGTATGAAGAAAATAAAATAATTTAATTAACACTTATTATTTTGGAACTGGGTATCCACTCGCTGCCACTCCCAAAAAGGCACTTGGTTGGTGGCGTGACTAATACTCTGCTGACCTAGAAGAGCCACTTACCCTAGAAATTTCATGGTGCACACTTGATTGGGTCCCACTTATGAGTCGCTGTCGCTCGTGGGGAATCAAACACGAGTTGGGGGTTCTCAACCATACTCGTCCATCAACTAAATTAAGCATAAGTGGGCTAACTAACACCTAAGTTATTATAAAAATAAGTGACGTGACATTAATAAAAAAAAAAACTTGTAGATTATGACATTACTCGTTAAAGAACAAACATAGAAAATCATTCTCATGTCAAATGTGACAATTTGACATGACACATTTGTTAAATAATTAAAATATTTTTCAAATTTATATCAGACTTTTAAATTTACCAATATATAAAATTACCATTATTTTTTATTTTATTAAAATATATCAATTAACTTAGTGTATAAAAATGTATAAATTATTATTAATTTTGTCACATAATTTTTAAATACATTATTTTCTCACAAGCATGTAAATTCCAAAAATTTCACCAACCCGAAAACCGGGGAGCCCGAACCGGACCCGATGCCGACCGCCGTCGGTGGCATTCTCGTAGATATCCATCATTTTCTATAGCACAACGTCGCCGTCGGCGACGCGCCGACCACTGTCGTGCCGTCGCTCCAATTCTCACAAAGCGTACGCTGCCTCGGCCGCTCTTTGTTTCTCCTAAACCTCCAAACGGTAAAAAGGGAAGGTACTGTGCCCACTTTATGATGAACAGTAAGAGAGGCAGAGAAGCGAGAATCCTCCTATTAGCCAAAGGGCGATGCTATGGTCTTTGTTTGGCTTTTACCTACCTGCAACCGGACGACGCACTCCGCGCTGGCATACTAAAGCAAAAGAAGATTCCCCCTCTTCTTCCTTTTCCCTTTCCCTTCTCCATTCCACCTTGCCCGCCCTAAAACCCTAGATCTATGATCATACAGATGATGTGATTGCTCTCTGGAGCTCTTTCGTTCTCTTTGTTGCCGTACGTCCAAAGCGCTTTCCCTTTCTGGTTTCTCCGATGGGCTGCGCCGGTTCGAAGCTCGAGGAGCTGAATGCCGTTGCTCTCTGCCGCGAAAGGTCCGACCTTCTCGCCGAAGCTATTCGCCACCGCTACGCTCTTGCGGACGCGCACGCGGCTTACGCTGACTCGCTCCGTTCCGTCGGCGCCGCACTCCATCGGTTTCTCGACAGCGACCTTGCAGCCCACTTGCAGGGATCGCCCATCCTTTCTCTTCCAGCGCAGCGTAAAGGCGATCCATTTCCCCCAACTTCGCCTGCGCCGCCACCACCGGGTGCTGCGGCGGTGGAAGGCATTTCCTCGGCGCACTCTAGCTCCCGATCTCAATCTGGCTCACACATTCACTTCCACTCCTCCGATGACTCCGACTCGGACGGCGACTTGCTTCAACACTCCGACAGCGACTCCCCTGTTCATCTTCACACCGATCACCATGAACTCCTAAGTGGACCAACCTATTTCAACGTTCACTACGCGCGTAGCAATCCGCCTCCTACCTCTGTTTCTTTTGAACAGCGCGTGGAAAGCCCTGAGCTAGTGCACTACGGCTCTGTTACTGAACCCTCGTCGTCGTCTTCTTACCCCTTTGCTTACGTTTATCAGCCCAGCTATTATGGCTACCCTGGAATGGGCGGTTTCTTCGGCTCTCAATCACCACCTGCTGCAATGTCTCAGGCTCCTCCTAATGGCCCTGAAGCTAACTCCAAAGCTTCCACTTCCCGGGCAGCTCTGCTTCCTCCTTCCCCGCCGAGGACGTCTACCTGGGACTTCCTGAACCCATTTGAGTCCTTTGAGAGCTACTACCCGCCTTACACACCCAGCCGGACCTCTAAGGAGGCGAGGGAAGATGAAGGCATCCCTGATCTTGAAGAGGATGAGCAAGAAGTTATAAAGGAAGCTTATGTGGACCAAAAATTTGTAGCTCATAACTCTGCAGCCGCTATGCCGGAGTACTCCGGTAAAGGTGCATCAGCTTCCGGAGAGAATGTTGGCAGTTCAGTGGAGGGTTCAAGGTATGATCTGAGGCTGAAGGAGGATGAGGTGGAAGTGGTGGAAAAGAATGTTGTTGGTGGTGCGGTGCAGAAGCCCCATGAAGGGAGGTCTGTAGCGGCTCCTCGAAGATATCATGATGTATCTGAGGTTGCAAGCGAGATAAGGGTCCAGTTTGAGCGGGCAGCTGAGTCAACCAAAGACCTGTCTAGGCTGCTCGAAGTGGGAAAGCTTCCCTACATCAGAAAAAAATCTGTTTTTGCAGGTGAAGGGTTTCTGCATTTTATGATGTTATTTTCTTCCTTGTTAAGCAAGAATTCCTTGCGGTTGATATCTTATATTGATTGTCTTTTGTTTTTCTTCTTGAGAACAGCATCTTCAAGAATGATGTGTGTGATTCCGGCCCTTATGTCCAAGGATGAAGATTTAGTATATGATGAGGATAAAGTAATGAGCTCTTGGAATCTTTCTTCAACATTGCAGAAGCTATATATTTGGGAACAAAAGCTCCATGCTGAAATCAGAGTATGCGCTCAATTTTTCTATTTTTGATGTTAGGAGGCACCATTTATACACTCTTTGTGCATTCGCCTAAATTCTTGGAGCCTATCTTTCCCAACAAAAATTTCTAGAGGTGCTCGTGATTAGTCTGTACCGGGTTTTACATTCTGATGGAGTATTAAGTTCTCTGTGCCATTTTATATGTGCCACAACATTATTCTTTCCTATCAATGTTGTTGTAGATTGTTGCTCATCTCACCCCAAAAAATAGAACCCCATCCTCCGAATAACGAGAAATTATTTTGTGCGGACACTGGACACAGCTTACCGTCCAGAGGCGAATCAAGTGCAGACACGTCATCCAGTACCGAGCAGTACTAAGCTGCGGTACCAAGTAGGGGGTGACGTGACACATTTTCATTGGGTTCTGAACGGCATTCGGTGTGCGCACAAAATAATTTGCCTCAAACAAAGGCCCCAAGCCCCCAAACCTCCAGCTCCACCCCCGGGGTTTGCTTTTAACTTTTATTGTTTCTTCAATTGACCTTGTTGTACATAACTTAAACAATTCATTGTTAAAGATTTGAGATTTTAGTTACTTTTGTCTCCTAGTTTGTATTTATACTTAATTTTACCATTCATTAGGTTGAGGAAAAGATGCGGTTGCTTCATGATAGAAACAGTAAGAAACTGAAGCGCTTGGATGTAAGAGGGGCAGAAGCTCACAAGATAGAGGCTACTCAAACATTTGTAAGGAAGCTGTCAACAAAGATAAGGATTGCAATACAGATTGTTAACTCTATAACTACAAAGATAGATGTTCTGAGAGATGAAGAGCTGTGGCCTCAGATAGACGGACTCATCCAGGGGTATTCCGTTATCTTGTCTTCTCGTCTACTCTAAACTGATTTCTTTTTGCAGATGAGGATAAGTACTGCTTTGCTACTTCATATAGTTTGAACTCTTAAGCTTAAATCTAATTGCATGCAGTTCTACTTAGCCCAAATTATTTTTCTTTTTCATTCGTAAAAATGTGGCTTTTCCCCATTTCTTCTCTAATAACTTGTTTTCATAATCTGTTATGACTGATACTTTGGGATTTGAGTCTGCTTTTTGCTGATATCAATGTATTGCAAATAGTTTTAGCAATACATTATTGTCTTATGGATACGAGACTTGTATTCCATTGTTGCTCGTTACTTCAGTGTTGCGTTATTAGAAGGGTCATAAAAGCAAGGAAGTTTTGATTTTGCTAGTGATTTAGGGGCTGTTTGGCTATAAGATCTACTAATTCCTGTAAATTATGATTTAATAAATCCTATGTGGGTTCAATTCTTGAAATTGTTTGGTATGATAGATGTTAAATCCAATGAAATCAAGGTAAACTGTTTGGCTACTTATTTCAGGATTTAAGGATTTATATGCTTGAGATATCTTCTTATATTTATTTTGAGAACAAATAAAGTATAATTAATCTTATTAAACATTTCAACTAATAATTAATTAATAATTTACTAAGCAAATAAAGTAATAACTTATATTAAAAAAAGATAAAAGTAAAAAAAAATTAATTTACTTATGATAATAAAGTTTTAATTAACTAATGTTAATTACTAAGATTAATTTAATTGCTTAATTAACAGACACATACATACATATACACCACTCAATATTTCCTCATTTGCATATCTCCCATCTAAATTTTTCCATTTATATTATAGCACTCTAAACATCAAAATAAAATAAAAAAATTATATATATAATTTGTTTGATTGGATATTAATCATTATAATTATTGAGTGCTAGAATATTTGATGATAGAGAAATAAATAGTTTACCATCATAGTTTAGCGCGAAGATCTAAAACACAAATAGATAAGAGAATAGTGAAAAATTTATTAGAAACACAAGAATTTTTATGTAAAATTCTCAAGAATGAGAAAAACTATGGGGCCTAACTCAATTAAAATGATTCCAGTAGTGTTTGTCATCAATTACAAATAATGCTATTCCTCAAGAAAGACATTCATGTACCTATTATATTTTTGAAGTCGGAAGTGTCCAGTGGCGAAAACACATCATAAATTTTGTTGCAAAAGTTGGGAGTCAGAGTTGATGTCGACAGTGGCATCAATCTTATAAGTGACGGCTTGTGTTGACTTTATTAATGATTTTAGGTTATGAAGGTACTAAACCCTAGACTAGCCAGGCAACAGTGGTCCAATTGACCTTGGAGTGATAAATGTCGGAAGAACTATAGTTGGACGACGAATGTCAAAGGACTATAGTCGGGTGAGAGTGATCGGAAGAATCATAATTGGACAAGAGTAGTCAGAAGAATCATAGTCGGGTCACGGGTGAAATAGTTGGAGTACCGTAGTTAAGCGGTAGTGTTATAACAACCCAAAAATATGAAACTTATTTTAAAATAAAAATTTGAATTTATGTTTTAATTGGATCGCTTCAACGCTGTGCTTGTAGCACTGCGGAGCAAGGCTTGTGAGCACGACGATGCCAAAAATTGTCGTCGCGACATTGAAGACTTTGTTATGCAATAATTTTGGATTCAACATGCGGTATATATATATATATATAAAATTCCCAATCTTAAGCACTTCAGCCACCGACCATCCCACCTCCCCCATTTGCACTTGGCTTGCCGTGGAAGAAGAGAAGGAAGGGAGAGGAAAAGAAGAGATAAAAGAGAGAGATATCAAGTTTTGGTCATTTTTGTCAGTTTCTTCAGCTATGAAAAATCTTCTAATTATTGTAAATAACATGCATTCCACTTTGGTTTTCAATGATTTTAAGTTTGATGAATTTAATCTCTCCAAAATTAATAAAAAATATGTTTTATTCTAATTTATTGTACTTTTATCGTATAACTTTTTTGTATACGATATATATGAATTTTATGGACATTTTGACTATAATATTATTAAATTTTATTGGTTAAATTGAAAGTTTTGATTTTATGAACCTAAAGATATTGTACATATTTTCATGTTTTCTATAGTTTAAGTATTCCATGTTGCATTTCAAAGATCAAAGAGAGATTGATGTTAGTTCTGTGTGGAATTTAATTATGTTGATCAAACGGATGTTACTCGGTGCTATGTTTGAGCCCCCCAGTGTTGTATGTTCGTGCACCTCATTGTTGTATATCCGAGTGCCTAGGCACTGGACAATTTTTTGTAAAATCAATAGAGGGGGGAGGGCCGCATCGCTTTATATTCGGCGTTGCGTTGCTATTAGACAGACTGAATGATAGTAGTTAGAGCGTCATAGTGTTGTGAGACGGACTGACACTTTTTTTCTCATTTTTCATTAAGGGTGACTTCCCTTGGTGGTTATTGTTGTATCTCGTTATTTGTTCTTGTATGAGAATGGTGGATGAATGAAGAGAAGCAAGGAGAGAGTTAGAAAGAAGCGAAAACTGTACTTATTTCTCCAAATTTTCGTAGTAGAATTTTTGATATGGTGTGGCTAGAAATTTTTTCCCCATTTTTGGGTTTTTTCATGTTAAATCTTGACCATCTTGTACTTGTTTCGTTGTGATGTTTTACTTTTCTCCTCCAACAACTGATATCAAAGCCAAGTTCATCAGTATGAGTGGGAGAAATGGTGGACGAAGCAAGATACAAGATTGAGAAGTTCAATGGTTCAAACATGCATTCTTGACGATACAAATTGAAGATTTGTTATATCAAAAGAAGTTGTATTTGTTGTTGAAAGGAATCACCAATAAGTCAAATTATATGGCTTTGGAGGAGCAGAGGTTCTTGACCCGACTGCCCTAGGTTTGATACGACTTTCACTTTCCTCATATATTGCATTTAATATTGTAAATGATAAGACTACAATCGATCTCATGGTTGCACTGACTAAAATGTCTGAGAAGTTGTCAACCTCAAACAAAGTATTTTTGATGTATAAGTTATTCATTATGAAGATATTGGACAACACTTCAATGACATAACACCTGAATAATCTGAACACCATGATGAGTCAGTTGTGTTCGGTTGGCATCAAGTTTGATGATGAGGTGAGAGCGTTGTTGTTATCTTCATTGTCAGAAGGTTGGGATGAGCTTGTTATTGCCGTGTGTAACTCTTTAGGAAGTTCAAAGCTGAACTTTAAGAACATTGCGGGGCTAGTGCTTAATGAATAGGTTCGGAAAATGGTCAGCGATGAATCCTCAAATTCCATTCTAAATGTTGAAGCAAGATGAAGAGGTTTAGAGAGAAATCTAAGTAAAGAAAGATCATAACCCAGGAGAGGAAAGTCTACTCAGGTTGAAGAAAAGTTGTGTGCTGGAGCTATGGAAAGATGGGTCATTTGAAGAATGATTGTACAATTCCAAAGAAAGCTAGTGGTGGATGTTAAAACAAAGTATATATGTAGAAGAGTTTCAATCAAATTCGTTGGTCTTATCTATGTATAATTTATGTATAATTTTGAAAATTGGGTTATTGATTCAGGTGCTTCATTCCATGCAAGTTCTAACAATGATGCATTCAAAAATCACACTCAATGTGTTTTGGGTAAAGTGTATCTTGGAGACAACAAGTGCTGCGGAATTATTGGGCAGGGAGATGTTAATATTAGAATGGATGTTAAATTCAATGAAAATGAAATATATAAGGGTAAAAATGAGGCTCTTGAAGATTCTTTCAAATATATTGAGATAGAGGATGATGTTAATGATCAAGAAGACAAAGCTGTGAATCACAGAGGGTTTCAAAGATGCCTTCTATTGAAGTTAGGAGATTCACTAGAATCTCAAAGTCAATATAAAAGTATTCTTCCTTCTTGTACTATCTATTGCTGATAGATAGTGGTGAACTTGAGTGTTATGATGAGGTCATTCATGTTGATGACACGAAGAAGTTGGAACAAGTCATAGATGACGAGATGGATTCACTTGAGTTGAATCAGATTTGGAATTTGACACAACTACCAGATGAGAAGAGAGCACTACATAATAAGTGAGTTTACAAACTGAAAGAACCTGATGATAGCAAACGCTACAAGCTAAGCTTATAGTTAAAAGATTTTCAGCAAAAGGAAGAATTGGACTTCACTTAAATTTTCTCTCAAGTGGTGAAGATGACTGCAATCAGAGTTGTTCTAAGTATGGTAGTAGTGGAGGATTTACATCTAAATCAGATGGATGTAAAGACAACATATTTTCATGGTGACATTGAAGAAGAGTTATACATGCTACAAACTTAGGGATATATGATCACATTTAAAAAATATCTAATGTTTAGGCTCAAAAAGAGCCTATATGGGCTGAAGTAGGCACTAAGCTAGTGGTAAAGGAGATTTGACAGGTTTATGTCAGATAATGAGTACACAAAGTGTCAGACATATCATTATTATTATTTTTTAAATATTTTGATAATTGTTATATTATTTTGCTTTTGTATATGGATGACATGCTGGTTGTAGGGTTAGATATGAAGAAGATAAGATGTTTGAATTAGCAGTTATTAATGGAGTTGAAATGAAAGATATGTGCCCAACAAAGAAAAATCTCAGTATCAGAATCAACAGAGATAGAATTGCATGTATATTGAAGTTGTCTCAAGCATAATATGTTGAACATGTGTTGAAGAGATTAAACATGAATGAGAGTGTGAGACAAAGTCAATTTGCACTCCCTTGGATAGTCATTTTAAGCTATCTAAAGTACAATCTCTAAAATCTGATGTAAAGCAAGAATAGATGGAGAGAACTTCATATGCTTCAACAGTTGAAAGTTTGATGTATGCTATAATCTATATGAGACCTAATATAGCATATGCAGTGGGAGTAGTCGGTAGATTTATGTGTAACCCAGACAAACTTCATTGTGAGGTGATTAAGTGAATTCTCAGGTACTTAAGAGGATCAGTTGACAAAGTTATTTGCTTTGGAGGTGCAAGGATTGATCTACAAGTGTATGTAGATTTTGATCTTGTTGGATATCTTGATTGTAAGAGGAGCACAAAATGCTATACCTTCACTTTGGGAAATACTACAGTGAGTTGAGTTTCCAAGTTGCAGAAGATTATTATGCTCTCAATCACAAAAGCTGGGTATATTGCTATCACTTTGGCTAGCAGAGAGATGATATGGTTGCAAAGTTTTTGGGTAGAACTTGGCGAGATGTTATGTATGTATTAGTTAGGATTCAACAAGATAAGACATCCAACTTTAATGTGGTATTTTCATCTTTCATTTGTATTTATTATATCATTGTAGCATCATCATCATCATTATTATCATTATCATTGCATCAACTTTAGTATTATTATTACTACAGACGACTTTAAATAAATTATTAAGAGTCATCACCCATTGCCCGTAGATGTAGTTTGGTCATTAATTATAGGCTATAACCTGGAGAATACCACAAACCATATTTAAAAGAAAGTCGGCCAGCACACCCTCCTGAATAGGATATTATGTTTTAACAACCAACCCATATGAATTACAGTATTGATAGTCAGCATTCATTGCTTACATGCAAATATCATTTATCATATATCGATTGTATCAATTGTTGGGGGTGGGAAGTAAAACAAACAAGAAAGATAAAAATAGTAGAAATAAAAAGAACAACAAGATTTAACACGAAAAAACTCGAAACCGGAAAAAATTTACGTACCCGCACAACACCAACAAATCCATTATGAAAATTGGGAGAGACAAGTACAGATCTCTCTTTTTTCAAACTCTCTCATTGCTTCTCTTCTCTCTCCCACCATTCTTACACAAGAACAAACAAAGAGATACAATACAAATCACTAAGGGATGCCGCCCTTGTTGACCTCGTATTTGGCTTGCAAATTCACCTCATCGATCGCCGATAAATTCAAAATTGAACCGCTTTCGTGTCAATCGAAGTCGATTTGATCACATAAACTTAATTTGATGTCAAGTCCGATTTGACTCGATTCAAGCTTAATTTGATTTCAACATCATCACCGATCATTAAAAAGAGTCTAATCGAGCCCAAATAAATTTGATTGATTATCAAACAAATTCATTTGAGCCTCGTTGAGTCTTCTTTGTCTAAACTTTTCAGAAGATCCTTCACTTGACACTTGCATCTATAAATTCAGAGTAAAAAGTTTATTTTCTGTTTTTACTTCTTGGCCTTTTCTTCTTAGAAAATATAAAGTATAGCTTTGTTTGTTGATTTCTTTCCTACTTATGACAAGTTAGTGTGAAACATATGAGCAGTAGCTAATTTAAGAAGTTAATGTACATGCCCTGGTTGGAAATGCTATTAAAGTTCACCTTTTGTTGAAGCAATATATTCCTAATTTCTACTTTCTCAAAACTAAAATTACTAATAAATTTTCTTTTTCACAGCTTTGAGAGAATGTGGGGGGTTATGTTGGAATGCCATCAAATTCAAAACCAGGCAATAGCTGAAGCTAGTCATTTAGATTCCATTGCATCTAGAGGAAAGGTCAGTGATGAACTTATGAATGCCATTATGCATCTTGAAATGGAGTTAATGAGGTGGATAGGAAACTTCTCTGCCTGGATAAATTCACAGAAAAACTTCATTAAAGCATTGAATAGCTGGCTCGTACTTTGCCTTCACTACGAACCAGAAGTAACTGCTGATGGGATTCCTCCTTATTCTCCTGGGAGAATTGGTGCTCCCCCAGTCTTTGTCATATTTAATTGCTGGTCTCAAGCTCTGGATAGAGTTTCAGATAAGGAGATTGTGTTTGCTATGTATTCTTCTGCTGCCACCATAAAGCAACTATGGCAACACAGTGACATGGAACTACGTCAAAAGATGATTTCCAATAGAGACATGGAGAGACTGTTTAAAACGAGGGAAAGAGAAGTACAAGCCATTAACAAGGAATTAGATGCGCTTAACATTTCATCGAAGAACCAATCTGCTGAACCTACCAGTCTTCAATCTGCTCTACGACAACTCTTTCAGTCCATGGAAAATTTTGCAACTGATACCATGAAAGCTTATGAGGATCTCCATGCCCGTGCAGTAGAACAGAAGGCCATGCCCGTGCAGTAGAACAGAAGGCAGTTACAGAGGAAGCAAAAATCTCACGGATGTAAAGAAGTAATCTTCCATGAGCTTGGAGTCATGATCTTCCGTGGAACTATTATGCTGAAGGTGAAGCCCTGTGAAGAACCAATCTTCTGGCGAGCTTGTTTCAATGACCTTCATTAGTTCATCAAATTGCTGCTTTGCACTGATTATGAAAGGTTGTTTGAGCAGTGGGAGCTGCTCTTTTAATGGCAGATGGCTTTGCTTCCTGAGTTGAAGAACGCATACTGGACAGAAAGGAAAAAAAGCTTAAAAGAGGATTGATTGATAAGAAATCAAACTGTGATCCAGCTCTGCAATCTCCGGCGGAGCTCTACATTCTGAAACCAGTTGCTGGCACTGATACTCCATTTTTGTGGGAAATGGATGTGCTAAAGGGACTGGATGAATTGTTGCCTTTGGTTCTTAGACGAAGCTAGGCAGGTAAATGTTCCCATTCTGTCTTTAAGCAAAGGCAATTAGTGTTGCATTATGTAAATTTTCAACTAGGTCTGATAATGTGTAGTAAAATAATCATAGGATACTATCTTATGTACATTTCTCTCTATTTAATTGGAATCATTTCTTTTGTTGCAAGGCTGACAAAATATATCTATGCTTCTTACTGTTGCCTGGAGTATACATTGTTGTTCATTTATTTGCATTAGTATTTTCTCCTTGCCTATGGCTGAATTTCTGGATTAGCATGGCATGATGGAGGGCAATGGAAGCTAACAGCCCGGCAACCGATTACGGATTGGTGAATGCTTAGTGTATGTTTGAGACATGACCCCTCATCCCCAAACTTGACATATGGTTGGCAATTCTGCATTAACCCCAGCTCATGGAGAAATTATTCTATGCGGAGACCTCATGCAAAACACCGTCCAGAGACCAATCAGAATGTGCCACGTTAGCAGTATCGAGCTGCGGTACTGAACAGTAACGAGCAGTGGTACCGAGCGAAAAGGAGTAACGTGGTGCATTCTGATTGGTCTCCGAACGGCCACAAAATAATTAAGGGATTTTTATATACCTAACACTTAAAACTATGTTATTTACTTATCTCACACCTAAACTTACCTATTTACACACACACCACTAAAAAAACTTTTCCCTTTCCAAAAAACCACTCCGTCTTCCTCTCCGTTAAACCCCGTTCGTGAGTTGCTTGTTTGGGCGCGAAACTACTGTTCCTTCGGCATCTGTTCATCTTCTTCATTTCTTGGATCTCAGTTACGGAAGAAAAGCATCGGAGCCTCCCGTCTAGCCTCTTGTACATTTCGGCCGAAGACTCCATTCCAGATTCGCATCCCTGCCGAAGCCTCCCATCCAGATTCGCATTTGTGCTGCCTATGAAACGGGAAAAAATTGATTAGGTAATAGATTTATGTTTAATAGGTAAGACGCTATATTTTGTTCTTTGCTAGAACAAATTTTATTAGGTAAGTTATTTTTTTGAAACAGAAAAAGCCCTTCCGGTCTAAGCCTCCCGTCAAGACTCGCGTTCGTTCTGCCTCTAGAACAGAAATATTTTGATTAGGTAAGCTGCGATATTGTCTGGTTTGTTAGATATATGTTGATTTTTTATTAGGTTAGTAGCTTTTATGAACAGAAATAATTTTTTTGATTACTAACTTCTTTGCTAGATATGGATTCCAACAATTTCTGTTATATTGTATTCAAATTTGGAGGATATTGGAGTATTGTGAAGGGACAGACGAGGCAAAAATATGTTTGTGGTAGTCAAAGAACTTTAAAGTTTGTGAGAAGTGATGTTAATTTGTTTTTACTGAAAGAACAAACTGAAGCACTATGCCCGTGGCTAAGGGCACATGATTACAACCTACATTATCACATCCATGGAACATCACCAACAAATTACATGTCCATTATAAGTGAGACAGATGTTATGGATATGCTTACATATTCTTCTGATTTCCACAAAATGGAGGTGGTTGTCGTTGTGAAAGAGCTTGAAGAAGATATATGTATTGCTTGTGATAGCCTGCATGTGCACAAACATGATACAAGTGGCAATATAATGACAAACAATGATATAATAGTTAGTGGAATGTCTGAAGGTATTCTTCACAGTCCAGATTTAGAGGAAAATACTCTTATTGTAGGATCAAGGTTTGAGGATTCGTTCAGTTTCAAACAAGTTATTCGTTCCAATGCAATAATACATAACTTTGATATCACAATTAAGGCTAGTGACAAATCAAGAGTTATTGCTACATGCTCATACCGTGGTTGTCCTTGGAGGATACGAGGTTCTTTATGTTCTGATGGCCACTCCTTTGAAGTGAAAAAATTAAATCCTATACATTTATGCCCTGGGGTAAACAGAGCTGGGAACAAACAAGCAACTGCAAGCTGGGTTGCCCAAGAAATCCAGGACCTTGTCAAAAGAAATCCTGATATTACACCCAAGGACATTAGTAATAACTTGGAGATTACTTATGGTTTGAGTTTACCATACATGAAAATATGGCGATCAAGGGCGCTAGCAAGAGACCTAATGTTTGGATCAATAGATGATAACTACAAGTGGGTTCCATCTTTGAAGACTGAATTGCTCAAAAGAAATCCAGGCTCTCATATAACATATCAATGTGACCACCAGAACAAATCATTCAAGAGATTCTTTGTTAGTTTTAAAGTTTGTATTGATGGATTCCTCGCAGGTTGTAGATTTCTAATTGGTGTTGATGCGTGCCATTTGAAATCAAAATATTTAGGCGTACTACTATCTGCAAATTGTCTTGATGGGAATAATGGTCTCTTTACAATTGCATTTGCCGTTGCTGAATCCGAATCAAGGAAGAGTT